GCTTTTAATTTTTCAGGTTAGTTTTTATATACTTAAGTAATTCATAAGTGATCCCATCACTTAAACTGTGGCTGTGTCAATGACTTGTTAAATTCTGAATGGTCTGCATGGCTGCTGATGAATACTTAATCTCATGCTATCTTAACCCTGGCTTCCTTACAAGGAGGTAAACGGCCTGTTCAGTGTGTTGATGATTAGGAAGGTTGTAACATAAATAAAGTTGCTTTGAAGCTGTTTCTTGGTGATTGAAATTGTGTCTTTATAGTACTGACTACTGGCCGATAGATAGGACGTGAGTGTGTATGTGTGCGTATATATTTATATATTTATATATTTATATATGCACACACACATATCCATAACCTACTTTTTAGTTTAGTATTATTTACGTGCTTGAGCGCTGAATGACTGCGGCAGAACAGAACAGTTTTCAGCTCTCAGCTGTGCAAGTGTCTTTGTCCTCTGTATCTGGTACTGTTTTCTAGGTGCGAGATGTAGACGCAAGATTATGGATGTTGTGTGAGTCATATTGCTCTTCTGCTGCTCTGTCTCTGCTGTTTGTTCCTGCTAGGTGCATTATGCTGTACTTGTTCCATCTCGTAATAAAGTGCTGTTTACCAAAGAGCTTTTTTTAGTGCGTATGTAGGAAAAAAATGTGTTTAATGCACCTGAATCCTAAAGAGCTCCCTATACTCTATGACAGAAAGGTTTAGAACAGAGAATTTTGTAAATAAATGAGGAAAAATGGCCTTTAAATGGCAGAAATAGTCCTTCCCCCAAACCCTCAGAAATGATTTACGTTGCACGTTTTGCTAGCCTATCCCTTTCAATTATCGTTCAGTAGCAGCTTTATAAACAGTTCTACTTTCTTTTTAGTGTGATTTTTAAGGCACTGGAGGAGAAGTTCTTTTTCGACAGGTGAGGTTTAAATCTGGGAGCATATCTTTGGAGCAGGGACAGACAAAATATGCTAAGCCTTGGGGGATGTCATTTGCATCAGGGTTTAGGGCAGACTGTGGAAGGTTTTCATGCTCAAAAAACCTGTGCATTTCCAAATACTGAAATTAAGAAAATGAAGCCTTTGTCGAGAACTGTTATTACTKATAGTAGTTTTGGCAGTGAGATTTCAAGGACATAGTAATAGGACTTGCAGGGCAGGAATAGGACTTTCAGTGCCGGATACTTTCTCTTCTCTTGCAGTGGTGGCCATCTCATACAGGAGTGGGAAAGGCCTTTGCACCTCAGCTTTCCTTTTCTTTATAAACCAAGGACAGCCCAAGTCTAAACAAGTAACTGTGCAGTTTGTTGCAGTCTTGGCCATATGCAGGAGGTCTTAAAGGGAAAGGAAAATACACCGTGAAGGTGAAAGAGAGGAAGAGGAAGGGGGAAAAAAAAAATAAAGTACAGGCCTAGGCTTTTGCAGTTTAAAGGTAAACATCTGAAATGCACGATTGGATTTAAAATTGAGAAATTTCTAACTTAAAATTGCCACTCCATGTAATTTAAAACAGATGTTGTGTTACAAAAAGCTGCTTCTGCTAAGGCGTCCAAAAACGACAATTAGAAAAACCCTGAAGAAACCTCCTGGGAAAGCTGCTCTCAAATCAAAAAAGTGGGAGCCTGAGGAGTGTGACCACCTGAGAGCAGTAGCTGAAACTCTGCCTAGGCCTCGGCGAGCATCTGAGCTTTTCGGTATTTTGGTCATAGCACCATCAGAACTTTCTCAGCATTTGCCACATTCCTCCCAAAATGCAGCAGATATTCCTTTTTTTTTTTTTTTTTTCCCCCGTCTGAATAAAAAAAAAAATGGGACACTGGGAGAAGCAGAAGACTTTTTTCACATTTGCGCAAAACACCAGATGTGTGTACATAAGTGGAAAGGTATGTGGGTGGGATCATGGGCTTACATGTGTGACTCGCAGGCAAAGGCATAAAAACGTGGGCCTGAATAACTTCTGCAAAGTCATGCCTGCCGCCTGCTTCAGTGCTAGGGATGAATCTTCTTTGGCACGGAGCGAGGGCCCATCGCTCTTATTTYGCCTCAGCTTTGGTGCTGTCCTCTCCTCCTTTTTGCTCATCAGATTGATGATGCTGCCCGGGCAGATGCAATGAGAAGCACAGGATGGTGCGTGTGCCAGGACACCCTGGTGCTCGGGGTGCCCTCTGCTCAGGCGAGTGCCCCGAGCGCCGTGGCAGGGTCGGTAGCCGCAGCCAATGCCGACTGCAGCCGGGCCTGGCCCACGTGGCAGGGCCCCCGAGCTGGGGCAGGGAGGTTCGCCSGGTGCACGAGAGCGTGCGTTTCCTGCAGCGAGATGTAGCCCTGTCCCCATGCATGCTTTGAAGGTCATCTCTTGTAAAAGGGTAAGAGCTAGGGGGTTTGGTTTTCTAAGACAAAAAATAAAAGATATATTTATTTTTAGTATCATATAAGTGTATTTGAACAGATAAAGRAGAAGTCAGATGTTTAGACAGCACACTTCTTTTATTTTAAGTTTCTAATAGGAGTCTGTTGAACAACTAATCTTGTTACCTTTGCATATCTTTGTGCTGCCCTGTCCAGTGCTATAGCTACGCATTGAGCAAGAACATCCCTCCCCTCCCAGCCATTCCTTCCAGTTTTAAAGTGTCTCTTTTCAAGGCTGAATATGAGAAGGATGAGGAATAGTGAGGGTTTTTTTTTTTTTTTTTTTTTTTTTGCTATTGTCTTCATTTGCCCAATATCTATGTTTTTAACTGGTATTGGAGAGGCCTGTTTATTCAGCAGAGGTTCCTGCCTGCTGCCACTGCCAAGTCTCGGGGCTGCAGACAGACCTCGGGAGTTGAAGGGCAAAGCTCTCTTTACATTCTCTTTCCCTTCTCTGTGGACTGCAATAGTAATGAAAGGCAGATATAAGTAGCAGATAACATGTAAATATCTGCTCTGGATAACCTGGCGGAGGAAAGATACAGACGCTTCTTTGCAACGGGCAGTGTGAAAGTTCTGCAAGTGAAGGGGGTTCTGTGACCAGAACGGGTTTGGGAAGGTATGTGGCCTAGAAAAGACTGGAGGAAGAACAGGGGAAAGCTATTCAGGCAAATTTGAAACTGTCTTAAGGTTGCTAAATCTGAGGTAAGAGCACAGTTTACCGGGGTTCACATTAGTAAAGCGTGGCCAAGCTGCTTTTTCTCTRTAGCCCCCAAACTTTTGGAGGGCTGGACGTGTGTGTGTGAGAAGTGTTCCCACCATTCGCTGTTTCATGGGACCAGACGAGACGCTGACCATGAGTGACGCTGCTGAGCGCAGTGGGACGGCTCCAGCACTGCCGCCCATTACCTCCGCGCGCACTATGGCCGTCCGTTACCTGAGCGGTGCCGCCGCCCGTTACCTCAGCGCACGCTATGGCCGCCCGTTACCTGAGCGGTGCCGCCGCCCGTTACCTCAGCGCACGCTATGGCCGCCCGTTACCTCAGCACTGCCATTGCCCGTTACCTCAGCGTGCRCGCTGTGGCTGCCCGTTACCTCAGCGGTGCCGTCGCCCGTTACCTCAGCGGCGCCGCTACCCGTTACCTCAGCACGCGCTATGGCCTCCCATCCACACAAGCGCCCTCGCAGCTCACCCCGGAGCCCTGTCCAGCAGCAGAGCCCTTGGGTTGGCTCTAGGGATGCGTCGGCGACGCTTCTTTTGTTGTCTGTGAGGTGTTAGGGACGAAAAGGCAAGTTTATGCACAGGGCAAAGCAAGCAACACAATATTTTTTAAAATGGATCCTAACGAAAGTGAAATTGCTTTCTGTAGTATTTTTGTTTCGGTTTTGGCAGAAATGGGGAAGTTCTAGAAAAGTTAGGTCTTCCTGGGCTGAGTGGTCTTTTTTTTCCACCACTGCTTGATTTTAAAACCCCTGGGCCTGTCCTTTGTTTAGACTACATGTACTTTGTCCGCTTGCTACACAGGCCTGCAGATAGATTTAAATTTGCTTCTTCGAAATTGAAAGTATAGAAGCAGTTGTTAGCAGAGCCAGCATCTTGGGTCTGYGACAGAGAACACTCTGTCTGGCTCTCTTGTGCAACTCCATCTTTAGCTTTTGTGGAGTTTGAGCATGTATTTCAAATGCTCCTTTTTCCTCTGTGTGGTTGTTGGGCCTGTGACACTGTCACCAGTTGGGTGACTACTTGGGCCTGACCTAAAATCCTCCCACATTTACAACTCGCCTTCTCCTGTTTTCCTTCTAGCAGAAGAAGCCAAGAGCCCTGAACCCTAGTGCCTGCATTGAGCTCCGCTGCGGGTGTACGTTTCGTTTCTGTCAGGAGCTCAGCCTTCCGAAGAGCATCAGTGTTAGCTGACTCACTGCCTCGCTGTTTGCCTTCTGCGTGAGAGTGGCCAATGCCTCCCACGCGTCGCAAGTTGTTCCCGTATCTTGATTATTTGGTACATTTTTATCTCCTTGACGAAGAAAAGAGCTGCATTATCAATAGGCAAAATATGTCAGAATCTGCGAGTACAATGTTCTTTTTTGCRAATTCAACACTTTTGTCATTGAAGTGGATTGATCCAAAAATCAATTCTTTTTGGATAGTTTTCATGATTTTGCTTACTGAGGTTTGAGCAAGTCTTTAATCGCTGCTTAAATTAGAAACAAAATTCCCTGAAAGCAGAATGTTTTTAATTGGATTCTTCTTAAATTCACGTGTCCCTGGTGATTGCGCATGAAGGGAAATAAACACTGGGCCATTAATGGTTATTAAATTTCTGAGAAGGATGCTTTCAAATCTCAGTGGAATTTGTAGTTTTGAATCCATAAAGCTCTCCAATAAGGCTGTCTCCAAACTGATTGTTGTAGAGCAGGTCAGTTGGTCTGTGATTAGGAGATGTGGGGTTTCCTATCTATGGATCTAYCTTAGCACACAAAAAGATAATCTGTTTTAGAAGCATAAGAGAAATTGTTCCCTATGATATGCATCTTTCTTGCTTGGGGTCTTTGGTTCCATTTTCTCRCTAAACGGTGCTTGTTCATATATGCGGAAATGATCTCTTTGCCTGAACTGTTGTGTCACAATTTGACACTTGTGTCAAAAAGCTTTGTTGTGCAGGAGTCTGGGTATGAAACAAATTAGAAAATGCTTAATTGCTGGAAGRTTTTCATCAAAATGCTCCCTCTTTCCACGCTTCATCACTTCTCCCCACCTTTTCCTTGCATTTAAGATCCTGTTAGATTTTCAGTATATAAAATAACTGTTTTTTTCCACATTTAAGTTTTTGAATTTTAAGCTTGATGGTGTTGATTTTTCTTATTGCACGTTCTCTAAATTTCTGGCAGAAGTCCTGGAGGGGATTTGGGAGCAAAGAAGAAGAAAAAGAAACAGAAGAGAAAAAAGGAGAAACCAAATTCTGGAGGCACCAAATCAGATTCTGCTTCTGACTCCCAGGAGATTAAAATTCAACAGCCTTCAAAAGTGAGAGCCTTGTTCTATTTTAATTTGTCTTGCTTTTTGTGAAAGTGGGTTGGTAGAACTGCCTTATCACATGTCTGAATTGGGCAAACGTAGCCAAGATTGCTCTCCTGAATAGAGACAGCAGCCTGGTAAGTTGTGGTGTTTGCAGCCTGCCTGAAACTAGCTGGAGAGTCATTGCAACCATTGCGGTGGTTACTGTGAGGAAAGCAGGGGAGGGGGTGTTTTGCCTTTTTTCCCCCTTTTTCTTTCCCCCATCAGTTAGATTCAGCCCCATGGCTGCTTTGTAGCAGGGAACTTGAATCTGCAGTGGTAATGTTTTTCATRTATCTGTTGTATGACAAATTGCCTTTAGTTTAGCCACGTTCCAGTGCAGCTTAGTGTGAACTCAGTTACTTGTACAACATAACACTAYCTCACAGAAAGCACCACCAGTGAAAGCGAAGGATGAGTACGTTTATGCTGACAGTTACGCTAGGTATGATGTTAGAAGCATTTTCCACACCAATTGAAAAAAACCCCAAACCCACAGACCAATCTTATCTGCAGTGCACCTGCTTTGCTAACTGGAGGCTCACTTGAGCACATTGTCTACCATAAAATACAGCCAGCTCTAACATGGAGGTAGAGATTTTTGTCATTTGAAAGGCCTCTCTTATAAACGAGAATGCCRAATTACTTGAGAGGACATGCAGCCTTTGTGGGCTTTGTGGTAGAATAGCATTGACTATGTACTTCTGGCTACCTTGCTCTAAATAGTGAATAATAGAGCTTGGTGAGCTTTTATCTCAAGAGAAATCTTAGCCTGAGAACCGAAGTTTCCAACATGACGGCAAGAAAGTTCATGGACCACTGAGTGGTTTGAAGTGGTTGTGTTTGCTTTGTCAGACTAACGTGGAGAACTTGCCCTGTTATATCAGCAGTGCCCTTAATCCTCTAAGATATGTCAGCTACAATATATTATCAAGTAATTTTAGGAAGTTTTATGCTGCTTTGTTAACAGTCTGATAGGTTTTGTGTTGTACCTTATAAAATGTCTTCCGTGTCAATCCCCTTGCTTTGAATGGGCAAATTTGGCTACAAGTATGTTTTAAAATATGTAGAGAGATCTTAGTCTTTAATATCACTGTGTCTTTTGTATTTTTTTATATAAAGCATGTGGCATGAGTTGCTAATGCAAAAGTTTTGTTTGCAAGCAATAACCAGGTAACCTTGAATTCATTTACAGTTGAAGTAAGGTCAGTCTTGATACTAGCATAAAGATACATTTCATTGTTATTATATTTTGGGAGTTCTTTTACTGACCAAATTTATTGAAATGTAATGTTCCATGTGCTGCATTGAATTGCATTAGAAAGAAGCTGCTTCACTTTTTGTGGGATGTGGGGGGTGCTTTTATGTGCAATGTTTGAGTCTTGAGGCCTTGCRCTCTTTTACATCATCCTTCTGGCCTACACTGTGGCCCGCTTGTGTTCCCACCTTCCCCACTGGAATTGGGAATCTTACTCTTGTCCTAAGCAATTTACTTACAGTGATGTTCCCGGAGCTTATTTTACTGGCATGAGTTTAGCTGGTTTGTCAGAATTGTTGCAAAGTTTTCTGTTTTATAGGCATGCAAGCTAAGGTCATAAGTGTTTCTTTGAAGCTCTAGGCAGTTAGACTGTTTTAGTTTTTCTATGCAGTTTTTACTATTTCTTCAGTTACAAATGTGACATTGTTGGTTTGCTTCGCTCTCTGCTGAGTTCTCGGGTATACAGCCTGAGAGGCAGATGAGTTTTTCTGCCTTAGAAAGCTATATGAATCTAAATTTTGCAAAACTGCCTTAGGAAGTAGAGCTGGGTCAGTGTGGAGAAATATATTTTCTCTGCAGCTAGAGGGATATTTTAATTACATATTTCTTGTGATACTTGAATTATATTAAAGAAAACTGTCATTTTTTATTTGCTAGCTTTTGGGAGAAAGGAGTTTTCCAAAGTGTTTTAGTGGACAGGAACATAATATACATTGCATCTAAGATAAYGTATGCGGGATTGTCAGGTAGTACTTAGTGGAGCTTCTGAACTCAAAAGATGGTTTTGAAAAATAGGTATTGTGGTAGATGAGGATGTAAACAAGTATAATGGGAGATCAGAAAAACAGAAGAGTGAGTCTACTTGGCATCTCCCGTTATCATTTGTGGTACTGGACTTTTTGAACTCTAGTGTGAGTAACCATAAGTGCTTGCTAAGGATCTGCATTGTGTGCTTAAGGTGACCCTTAGGACACTTCACCGACTGTCTCCTGGGACTTTGTTTTTAGTATAATATTGCCACCACTCAACGTAAACATACAGAACTTCATCTGACTGGAAGGAGGAATCCAGTTGCCACAACAAAGTCCCAGGAGTGACTTTGTGTAACACAGCAAAAGTGACACAGCAAAAAAAGTATGTTCAAAATATACCTTGTGTCGTGAGGCAGAAATGATTATTAGTTTTAGTGCCTAAAGATCTTTTGGGTGCCTGCCCAGAAGGGATGTGTTGCCCCATCCCTCTTCAGCGTTGCAGAGGGAGGAGAGTTTGACTCCAGCTGCCTCCTGCTCCTGAGAGTTCCCATCTCTCCTGATGAAATGTCAGGACAGATTTGCAACCCCTCTGTGGCCTGCTAGCTGCTAATTGGGCTCTAACATGCTTTTTATTGGGCTGATGAATTCGGCCTTAGCATGCTATGGAGAAGTGGCTTCTTACCTTCAACTAATAAAGCTTAGCAAACGCTGTGAAATTTGAGGACTCTGTTTACAGAACTTGTAAATGTTCTCATCTCTCGCTTTTAAGCAGAACTCGCCTTGTAAATATTTATGTGATATACAAGTTACCTGCTAACCATTTGAATTTCTGCTGGGGAAGGAACACTTTTACATGAATCACAATCTTCAAAACCTCTCCTTTGTCATCAAAAGAGAGAGCTACATCTGGGAATTGTTGCAGAGCAAATACATGAGTTCTCTGCTTACATGGTACGGGCATCTGTATCGCAGTCCTTAGAGATCATCTTTACTTGCTGAGATCCTCTCTTGTGCTTTTCACTATGAAATATAACTGGAATATAGTCTGGGATTCTTTTTGACATCTTTGCTGCTCTCATGGGTGCAAGTAAAAAACAACTGGTTGGAGGAAATATCAGAGAGCAGAGATATGAGATGAGGGGGGAAGCTTTTCATTATTAGTCAGTAGAGCCCCAAGTAATATATTTTGTAATCAAAACTTTAAAAAAGGAGAAGGGCAAGCCAGGTACTAATACACATAAGTGCACAATGTATACATTGCATATTAGGGATTTTTCCACACTGTGATTATTTTTTCTTCCGCCTTTAAGGAAGAAATACCTTGCAGATAGACCCCATTCACATCCTGGTCTATTTGGGCTGTGTCTGTTTTGACCTTTTGAGTCTCCCTGTATGAAGGTGAGGCTAAGAATATTGGGGGGGGGGAGGCGGGTCTTGTCCCCCACCCAAAAATACAGGCACACTGTGACAGCCAGGTCTGTTCCCCTGTAAGGTACAGCTGCCCCTTCGGTGACTGTTTTTTCTGTCATCTACCGATTTCATGTCCCAAGGATGCAGATTTTTCACATCGGGACAAAAGAAACTTGTAAGATCTGTGATATTATGAATCATTATTGTATTCACCAGTGACCTGCACAAGCATGGAGTTGCAGAATAAATTCTTTTGGAAGCAGCTTTTGGAAGTCTATAGGCCATCCCCCTGCTCAGGGCAGGTCCAGCTACATCGGGTTGCTCAGGCCTAGATCAGGTTGTTCTTTCAGATTTTGAGTATGTCCAAGGATGGAGGTTGTGCAGCCTGTCCGAGCAGTCTGCTCTGGTATTTGACCACCTGCATTGGTAGCATTTTTTTCCCTTATACCTGAGTGGGATGTCCTGTTTTGCAAATTGTGTCCATTGCTTCTTTTCCTATTGTTGTGCCTCTCTTAAAAAAGTCTGTCTCCATCCTTTCTGTGTCTTCCCATTAGGTAGTTTTAGACAGCAGTTAAGATTTCCTCAATTCCTACCTGTCTTTTCTTGAGATAAAGCCCAATACCTCAGTTTCTCCTTGTACATCATGTGCTTCTGTCCCCAGCCATCTTGGTGCTCACTGCCAGACTCGCTCCCCTGTGTCAATGTCTCTCCTGTTCTGTGGAGCCCAGAGCTGCGAGATGTCATCTCGAGGGTGCCAGACAGAGGGGCAGGTCTGCTGGCTGCAGTCTTGCTGCTACAGCCAACGATGCATTTGGCTCTCTTTGTTTCAACAGTGCTCCTGGCTCATGTTGGTGCTCAAATTGCTGCCTGCCAGAATCTCAGTCCTTTTCTCCAAAGCCAATTCCTAGCTAGTCAGCATGGGCCTGAGCTGCTCGTGGGGACTTTCTGTCCTAGGTGCAGACTTTGCATTTGTCCTTGTTGAACTCGATGAGATTTTCTTTCCTGACTTTCAAGATCCCCTTGAGTAGCAGCTCTGCAATTGAGTGAATCTTCCCAAGTGGGTAATACATCTGTGAAATTGCCAAGGAAAAAGTACTCTGTCATGTTGCCCAGGTCCTTAAACACTGTTGACTCCTGAGGGATTCTGCCATTAGCTGGCCACCAGGTGGACCTTATACCACCAATGATAGCTCCCTTGAGCCTGACACTCAAGCTAAATTTTTATCAGCCATATTCATTTATGGCCAAATTGSTGAGGTATGAACTGGAAAAGGATATTACAGGAGAACCTGTGAAAGGCCTTGCTGAAGTCAATATAAGTAACATCCACTCTTCTCCCCTTGTCTCAACAGAACTAGTAATCATGTTGTAGAAGACAGTGATGTTGGTCAGATACAGTTTCCCATGATAAACCCATACTGGCTGTTCCCAGTCACTCCATGTCCTCAGATGGCTGGAAATGGCTTCCGGGAGGATCACTTCATAAGGATCCTAAGGATGCCCAGCTAGTGTGTGGTTCCTGAGATCTTCCTTCTTGTCTTCTTGAAGATACATTTGGTGTTTCCCTTTTTACAGTCATAGGGGACCTCTACCAATTGCTGCAACCTTTCAAACTTAATAGTGAGTGGCCTTGCAGGAACATCAGCCACCTCCCCCAGCACCCTCAGGCATTTTGTTTAGTTTCAGGAACTTGTGCGAGGTTAATTTGCTGAGTTGGCCCCTCATAAACTTCTGCTCTGGGCAACAAGAGTTTCTCAGGCCCTGCTGCAGGGCCCAGAGACACAGGAGATCCAGACCCAGATCTTGCCAGCAAAGACTGAAGTCAAAAGAGTATCCAGTACCTTACAAACTGCTCTTGGTAATTCATGTGGCGTTCTGTGTAGGTATTTCCCTTGCAGGTAGGAAGGAGTCCAAAAGAGTTTCAAAGTAAATTTCTTAAAAGAAGAGAAAAGTTAATCTCTCRGCTTCCTGAAAGAAGAGGAAAAGTCTGCTGATGTCCTTAGCTAAGTCAAGTTTAGTATCAAAGGATGAACTTATTATTTCACAAATACTAGTTAAGATGGGGGCATATTTTTGTTGTATTTTTATTAAAATAGAAACAATATTAGAGACTTTTTTAAGTACAAACTACAAAATCCAACATGTCAATATTTTTGTGTGGTTACTTGCTCTGTTCATAAGAATTCAGAATTTATCTTGTGGCAATAGAAGTGTTTATACCAGGTTAGTAGGTACTAGACAATTGTTGTTGTTGAGAAAAGTAGCCTGTATCTGTGACTGKAATCCACAAATAAGGTAAGAATTTTCTTTTATCCCACAACGGTATTGACCTGATTTGTTGAACTACTTTCAGTAAGTGTGTAAATAGGTTAATTTACAGCAGCTCAGATAACAGGTGATTATAGTTAAAAGTAATAACTTGCAATGCTAAAATTACTGAAAAAAATATATAAAATGTAGAGAGTACAAGTATTTATTCTAAATAGGAAGCAATGGCCTGGTTGAATTGCATGGGTGTTACTTGATTGGAGACTAAGAAAACTGAAAGTGGTTGTCTGTCCAAATGAGATTTTATATCATTTTGCACATAGTTTATGGTGTTTTATTTCATATATGAATCTTAGAAAGAAAAGGAAATGCTGAAAGAGTGATAGATTGATATGCAACCAAAAAAAGCAGTTGACTTGAATACTCTGTCCAGGAATACTTCCATTTTCCAATCCATTTGAGAGTATTCCATCAAATGGATCCATGGATTTATTGTATTTAAAAATCAGGGAAAATCTGAACACGTGTTGCTACTGCTAGTATGCTTCAGAACAGGATTTATTTGGGAGAGTAAGAAAGAAAAWAAAAACACACACAGAAAAATCCCTTTAGGTTTAGAAGTCTATTCCTAGTAATCCTCTGTAATTTCATAAGCAGGTAAAGTTCTCTTTCCAGCTGCACCTAATCAGAGTGCTCAAAAGTGATGATTTAAGAGTGCTGAGCCAGGGGTTCTCTGCTCTCAAATAACTTGTATCTGAAGGTTTTCCTGCTTTCAAGTGGGAGGTTGGTTTGTTTTACATCTGCTCCCATCAGTTAGTTATCTTTACTTGTCAGTGGTGGTACGCYGGCAGCAGGGGTGACGTGGTTGTCTCCTACATACAGTGATCCAAGGTAACTCCTATAGTGCTTGCAAGCTTAATAGAAGCCCCTGACAGTGTAACTGAGGTTAAGAAGTGGATGTTTGTAGCAATACAGTGTAACTGAAATACTGAACCATGCTGAATTTAAATTATAGTGTATGTGTAAAGTACAACCTCACATGTCTCTGTGTGCATTCCCAACAGTATATTTAGATTGCAAGGTATCTAAACTGATCTTTTTGCCCAGCAGTATATTTAGATTGCAAGGTATCTAAACTGATCTGTTTGTTATTTATCGGTTAATAAGCTTTGCATTATGATACCGCCTTAGTACTACAGTATTTGTATCGCAAACACTGAGATTCCATGGTTAAATGCAAACGCTTCCCCAAACTGTTACCTCTTTTGTGAAGCTGCCTGGCTGTTGCTCACCTGCTCCAAAAAGATTATGCCTAATTACCTGTGAAGAGAAAAGTATATGGAATAATATGTAACAGCATAGTGAACAAATACACTTGTTCAAGGTAAACGTAGCAAGTAAGTCTCTTCTTCTGTTTGTCTCTGTGCACAGAATCCAGCCATTCCAATGCAGAAGCTTCAGGACATCCAGAGAGCCATGGAGCTGCTCTCTGCTTGCCAAGGCCCAGCCAAGAACATTGATGAGGCCACCAAACGTAAATACCAGTTTTGGGATACACAGCCTGTACCTAAACTCAGTAAGTTTAACTGGGCCTAGGCATAAGATCTGTCTTAGTGACTGCTAAAAAAATGCATGTCAGATGTGTGACACATTCTAAAAAAGGGATATGAAGTTGAACTGGATGCAGCGGAGTTCCTGCAGTTCCTTAATCTTTTATGTTACTTATACGGGGTTCACTAGGGAAGGGCTTGCACCCAGAATGGTGGGTAACAAAACACAGTGTTAATGAGTCTTGCTGTTCTGTTCCGAAATAGGCTATTGATAGCATTTCACTATATATTTTAGGCCTTTGTCTCTTAGGACTTAGAGGTCTTTTCTACTTCATAGAAAATAAGAACCCTATTAAATACTCACAAGAGGCAACTCTCCTCTCCCTTTGCCCTTTGTAGATGGATCTGCTGCTACAGAAATAATGACTCTCCTGATTTAAATGACACAGTTTTTCCATGTAGTATTAGGTGAATCATAGCACTTCTTAGACATGAACACCTTTATTGCTCTTTGTTCACTTGCTTTCTCCACAATATGCAGTACCTGAAGACATACTCTCTCTGAGTCCCTTCCCTGTTTTTGGTACCACTTGAGATTGGCAAGGGGACCTCTCCTTGCCTTTAATTTTCTAAGAAACTTGACAGATGCCTTTTTATACTGCTTTGATCTAGCTGTGCACACAGTTGGTGGTATCTCAGTCAGTCTCTGCTGGAGAAGACAGCTGTCGACTCCTGCTCTTCTAGAGTTGTTTTCTACATCTTTTTCTTCCCCCTCATGCCTACAAGTTCAGTTGTTCTAGTTCTTCCATTGTGAAGAAACACAGAGGACCCTGCAAATAGAGTGGTCTCAGCACAGTGGCTAACCTTCTGTTCTGAAGGTTTGTCTCCATGGCAGATATTGATCTCCATCATTCCACAGTAGTCCATTTCTATAGCTGAATGCACAGGGGAAATTCCATTTCCCTCAGACTTCCTTGCTTGGAGAAGTCCAGAACAGAGTCCCAGATGTGGTSCTTTCTTGTGGATCAAACCGAGCAGACGACCAGGGTCTTTTCCATAYGAACTCCTTCCAGAGAGCTTTGTGAACTAATGGCAATAATCCTGCCTAGGTGGAGGAAGAGCCTAGACAAAAATGTTAATGTGCAGATCAAAAAATGCTCTGGCCATAAAGAAACTTTTTTTTTCATAACTGGTTCAGAGTCTAGTGCAGGTGTCTGCTCTGCAGTTCCATTAACTGAATTCAGGGTGGTCAATATATCCTAAAACAGTCCAATAGAAATGAGTCTGTCACTAGTCAGCCTGAAAGAACCAATAGATTAGTTCTAAAAATTATTTATTAGGGCTGTTCAGTGGAAATATGATTTGTTGAATTTGGATGGCAGAGTTTCTGTTAGTATTTCTGAGTCCCTTTTTGATCCTGTTCTTGAATTTATTTAATCTTTAGWTAATTTGTATAATGAGTTTATTTAATCTTCCTGACTTACTGAATGAACATACTGGCGGGTCTTCACTGTTTGATGTACTGTATATGTTCTGGTAGAGGGGAAAAGAAGAAGAATCTGTTAATTCAAGAAATGACTGTAGGGATCAACATTAAAATTGCTTCAATACCTACCTGTCTTCTCCTTAAAGACTACTAGCAGTAAATCCTGTAATTTGTAATCTTAGCCCAAGCCCTGCCATATAGTGGCASATTTTAGGATGTTGATACCCCCAGAGTTTGCGTAGAGATGCTGCTAACGATGGCCTGCTGTCCAGGCTGGGTGCTCATGCTTATTTGTCAGCATTGGCTGTCATTGGGCTAAAGCTTGTACTACTGATGAAAAGTTAGTACTTCTGAGGTTTGGCGGCTGCCAAATATTCCCACAGAAGAAGGGTTTCTCTTTATTTAATTGCTACGTACTGAGGGACTGGGGTTGTAAAGTTGGGAGGAGAAGAAAGCATGTTTCCTTGTCAAATTTTCAGAACAAGTTTCATATTTTACCTGCAGCCTTTAAATGCCCTGGCTTTGCCATGCTGCTGCTCCCGAGTAATCCTGCTGAGTTGAGGTCTCTTCAAGTCCATCAAAAGTTAGATCTGGTTCATAGATTGTGCACTAGGAGTATATAATTTTTCTCCTGATGAGACCACAGGCTTGGAGGCTGGTTAAGTGCTGTGCATGTGGTGCTGTTTTGGTGCTCTGTGTTATGAAGTACCAGATATCAGCTAGAGTAGAGTAGATCTGTGCTGGATACAGATACTGTGAGCTCGTGCTTTCTTTGAACGTGATCACTATGAATGAGTAGTAGTATAAAGTAGCATTACTAATTTTTAAAAATCTCATCTTCCTATTTCATAATTATTAGAAAACACATGATGCAAGTTAAAGCATTAAAAATGGGTTGAGAACGGTCAAGAACGCTAGCGTTGTAACTTCATTTTCTCTTTTTTTCCCCACCACTTCTTTCTYTTCCTCCACACTTGAAAGATGAAGTTATTACTTCACATGGTGCGATTGAACCAGATAAGGACAACGTCCGCCTAGAGCCATATTCTTTGCCCCAGGGTTTTATGTGGGACACATTGGATCTTAGCAATGCTGAAGTTGTAAGTAAAACAATTTCTATGTGTGCCTCAGATCATTGAAGTAAATTCTTAATGATGTGTGTGGATAAATCTTTGGGTTTTTTCATGTGTGTTTTCAGCTGAAGGAATTATACACACTATTAAATGAGAATTACGTAGAAGATGATGATAATATGTTTAGGTTTGATTATTCACCTGAATTTCTTCTGTGGTGAGTAGCAAGTTCCACATTCTGCTCTGGCTGGAGTGCAAAGAAGGGTGTTTTATTACATCTTCTTAGGCAGTAATTTGTAATTATTTCTGTCATCAATTCTAGGGCACTGCGTCCTCCCGGCTGGTTACCCCAGTGGCAYTGTGGGGTTAGAGTGTCTTCAAACAAAAAGCTAGTAGGATTTATAAGTGCCATCCCTGCAAACATTCGTATTTATGACAGGTAAAGTGCCCCATTGCTTTCATATTTGTACAAGGAAAACTACATGAAGTAAATCTTAAATTGGTGCCCATTGCCACAGGGAATTGCCGAGTTACAATAGGCTCACGGACCATGAAGAGTTTGGAGGAAGCTCTGTAAAGAGCAGAGAGGTTTCCCCACATGCCCCACACATGCCTTCTTCACAGTGAAGAAGTAACACTGTGTTTTCTGACCCAATGCCACAAATTTATTTTTTTTTACCTAGAATTGTTCCATGACACCTTGGAAAAACTAAAGCAATGAGAGTGAAAATATTGCATGTGCAGTTTTTTGTTTTTTTTTTTTTAACTCTTTCACTGTTTAACTTCCTTTCAGTATGAAGAAAATGGTAGAAATCAATTTTCTCTGTGTCCATAAGAAACTGAGATCTAAACGGGTAGCGCCTGTGTTGATTCGGGAAATAACCAGACGAGTGAACCTGGAAGGAATCTTTCAGGCTGTCTACACTGCTGGAGTGGTGCTCCCCAAGCCCGTGGCCACCTGCAGGTAACCTACATGATGGTCATATTAATACTGGCTCTGACAGCAGTCACATTAAAGAGCATTTGGTGTCATTGGTCATAAACAAGAGGAACAAAAAAATCTGAAATTGTTTGTGTGTGTGTGTATGTGTGGTTTGTTTGCTTATTTGTTTGTTTCTCTCTTTTTTTTTTTAATACCCTTCAACTTCAGAGATCCTGTAAGCTTCCATAAGGAAGGAGGTAAAAAAAATATTGTCCTAGAGTAAACAGGGATGTTCTGTTACCCAGTGATTTCCTAGGACACGAACCCTACGACAGACTTAGAAGCATAGAGCTCAATGCAACAAAAATAATACTGCCATGTAAGATGCAAGTAGGATGAGATTGTCAGGGCTGTGGTAAGCACTAGAATGCATAGGCCTGTCATTACTCCTTTCAGAACTTAAAGCATTTGTTTAGAACCAAGATGCTGTGATTACAAGCATGTTTAAAAGGTACTACTTGGATATTTGTTCCTATTTTTATTACTCAGACTTCCTATAGACATGAATGCAGACTTATTTAAAAAACSATTTTAGGGGATAGGGAATAGCAGTGCGAGAAAGCAGGGAAAATGGGTGCATATAAAACTGAAGCTTAAACTGAAACTAATCTCATTACTTACCTTGCTTCCAGGTATTGGCATCGATCACTGAACCCCAGAAAACTGGTTGAGGTGAAATTTTCACATTTGAGTAGAAATATGACTTTGCAAAGAACAATGAAGCTCTACAGACTTCCTGATGTAAGCAGTGTGTCTCCTAGAGAATCCTCRCAGCTACTGAGGCCCAAGATAGCTGCCCATCTCTGGGCTTGTCTCTGACAGGACAAGCTCTTCTGTGGAAAGGCAGTGCTTGCAGGACGTAGAATAATATTTCTGCGTGGGAAAAAAAAAAGACCATAAGGGCTGTACTGAACAGAGAAGACTATTGCTGGAGTATAGATTTGTATCTGGAGAAAATATAAAATGTTAACCCCTTTTCTTTAAAAAGAGAGAGAGAGAGAGGAAGAAAATGGTTAAACCTTGACTCTATAAATGTTTTGAGTAGATTTGAAGATGCCTAGACTTATTCTAGGTATGACTAATATCGTAAAAGATGATTTTAAATAAAAGCTGAATGCTGCATACCTTCAAATTCTCAGAAAATTCTATCTGAAAATTGATTGAATATGGTGAGATTCATTCATTTCCACCTTAGCTTCCAGTTCATCCTATTTTGTCCAAAAATGCTCCACTGCAATGAGCTGGCTCAGCAAAAACCACYTGAGAACATTGGGTACCATTTATTTGCTTGATCTAGCCAAAATAAAAAAGGTCCTGGCATACCTAGGATAGTTAAAAATATTTTTTCCACATTTGAACTAATAGGTGGACTGGCAAAAAGCCTTAGGGTGCATTTCCTGGGCAGGACAAGCCATTGGAAGTGGGCACTGCTGCAGTCTCTCTCCTTGCCCAGGCACCCATATTGGCGGCCGTGTGGTTTCCTGATGAGCCAGCTCAAGCAGCTGCAAAACCCAGTGAATCCCGTTGTGCCAGTGAACACTCCCGGGGTGGGGTTGGCTGGGTGCCAGAGSGAGGAACAGGGCAGGAGCAGAGGGCCGAGGGGATGGGGTGACAAGGCAGCCGTGCTGGCAGAGCCGCATTCCCAAGGAGCTGCTGCCCAGGAGCACAGGCTGCCTTATTAGTAAAGCTGTCTTATGTGGACAAACCCTCCCTTTACTGTACAGAAAAGTGTATGTTCTCGCTTGCCCCTCTGCCCCCAATCCTTCCTAGTGCTTTATCCGTGGCTGTTGGTTATATATATATCCGTGGCTGTTGGTTATATATATAGCTATATCCGTGGCTGCCTGCTGTGGGCTCTCTTGTCACGGGTACCTGTGGGTAACGCGCCAGGCTCGGGCTGTGCTACCTGCGCCCAGGCAGCTGGCACCTTCCACTGCATGAGCAGAGCTTGAGAGCTAATAGCAACATTAATTAGGTTTTAATTTTGAAGAGCTAAATATAGCTTTTGTCAAAACTAAAGCCGTTTTTAATAGGCTAAAAAGGCCCGTAGATGATTCCGAGTAGACGTTTTGGTGGTAAATGTAGCACTGCTTCTCCTGGAAACAATATGGAAAAAAGAATAGTTCCCCTTGTGTACCTTGTTCTGGTTATAGTTCAAAGTAGGTGACAACAGGAAATCATTATAAGCTACAGCAGTTCTATCCTAATCATCTTTCTAAGTCATAAAACCCAGATTTCAATCAAAAACAAAATACGGAACAAAAAGAATACATTATATACAATAAAGAAAAGGTAGCTAGAGAAAACTTATTTTACACACATAGAAAATAGTTTTAAAGTTGACTTTTCAAAAGCATGCAAGTGACTTAGGGGTCTGTATGCATCAGTTGTTTGTTCATTTTTTAAATCAGGATTTGAGACTTACCTCCTACAGAAAACAAAGATGGTTTCATCTTTGTGCTAAAAGGGTTTTTCTGACCAAACAGTGTAAGTACCACTACACTGCTTCCTTCCACAAGCCTGCTTCCACAAGGCTTTGCCCTCTGCAAAAGGAACATTTAGGAAAGGTATCAGAAATGGGAGGAAAATCTCGAAATTTGTTTAAGCATTTTACTCGTTTAGCTTTTTAAGCCTTAAAGGAAAAAAAAAAAGGAATACAAAATGTGTGAGGTCTAGGATGTTGGCAATAGCATCTGTTCCTCTGGAGAAATAAAATAGTTCCAATAATGGAGTAGAAAGATTGAAGTGGCCCAGACTGTCTCAATAATTAGAAGAGAGGGAATTCTGATTGAAAGCAGTTTGTGAAACAGCATAATAAATTAGGTGGCTGGGGTGAAGTAGGCCAATAAGGAATGCAGTGGAGAGCAGGCACTCCGCAACCTAGTTCCAGCCTTTGCAGTGTATTTAGATTGTCTTTCCAAATCTTAATATTTGCTTTTCTTTTGTTACAATAAGGCCACAAAGACTTCGGGTTTGAGACCAATGGAGCAAAAAGATACTAAAGCAGTGCAAGAACTGATCAACACTTACTTGAAGCAATTCAATCTTGCTCCTGTAATGGGTGAAGAAGAGGTAGCCCACTGGTTCCTGCCTCGGGATCACATCATTGACACGTTCGTAGTAGAGGTAAAACACTCCTGAAATGCCTCAGAGATGCTTTTTGGGAAAGGTCACATCAAGATCAAGTTTTTGAAACGCAGCTAATATGAAAGCTGCTGTGGAATTTGGTATCATGATTTCAAGTTTTGTTTTTTGTATTACATGTTCTAATGTTCTGTCCACAAGAAAATGCAAGCTGCAATAGGATACTTCAAAGAAGAATGTAGAGATGTCAAATTATTGCCATCTTGGAAGAATTCCTGCATTCCTCCCTTGATCTTCAAATCTGCTTTCTTAAGGAGAAATAAAGGAAAAAGGATACAATGATCGAGAGGAGGATTTAGTTAGAATTTRGTTTCAATCCCTCAGGTGCCAAATAAACTCCTTTTTTTAACCTTTTTAAAAGCACTTTTAAAATCATCTGCTAATATGGGGAGTTAGGGTTTGTCATTGGTTGCTTCAGTAAAATACACTTTTCCCCCCATCCTGTAAAGGTGTGTATTTGTGTATATATATTATATATATTTAAAAATATATTTACACCTCTATATATACACATATATATATATAAATACCTTTGTAAGTAAAAATCAACAGCTTTTGATGTTACTGTTACTGTCATGTCCCTTCTTGCAGAATAAGCAACAGAGGAATAGATCAGCAGTTGCATTAGAAATCTTCAAGGTGAGGTAGGGACTARCTGTGATAAAAGTAGTAGAGAAAGGTAGATCTTTCCTTGGAGTCCTCGCTAAAACATCTTACTTCAGATAGTGTGTTGATAGTGTGGTGCTTTTTGCTTTTAAGTGGAAAGATCATTTAAAAGTGATCCACACCTAAAATCATTAAAAGAATGAGCTCCTCAYAGAAGCTGCAGGTTATGCAGCTCGGTGTTCTGCAGCATGAGTTTGTCCCAGCCTCTCACTTGAATTTAGAAACCTACTGCTGCTGGAGAGGAGAGGTTCTGCTCATCCCTCCTTCCTTTCTCACACATTCCGCAGCGCAGCAGTTTGGACCTCACTGGACTCTTCCGTGGAGCAGTTGCCCCTCCTTTCCCTCCCTGCTGTTCTCCCTGGCTTTAGTTTTGTCTGCATTGATGACTTGAACCCAGAAGCTCACAGAAGAATCTATTAGAACTGGCATGAGGGACAGGATGATTTAATTTTGACAGTGCCATTTTAAATGAGTACTGTAGTCTTCACTTGTTTTATAATGGTTGCTGAACTAGATTTTCCTTATAACAAATTTAGATTTGCTAGTGCTTAAAATCCTCTTAAGACTGAGGTGACTTAGAGAAATCTAGTGTGCTGTTTTTAAGTCATCTCTGCAATGCACTAAACAGTTGTTCTGGCGAATGTTTAAAATATTCATTGCGCACATCATYTTAAAATATTTAGCATATTTTTTAAAATATTTACGTCCTTAACACCCTTATTGAATTCAGTGACTTTTTTTTTTCTTTTAAGGGCTCAAATGGTATTTTAACAGACTTCCTGAGTTTCTACACATTACCTTCAACAGTGATGCACCATCCTGTTCATAAAAGCCTCAAAGCTGCCTATTCCTTCTACAATATTCATACAGAGACCCCCCTCTTGGACTTAATGAATGATGCACTCATTATAGCTAAATCAGTAAGTATTTTTTCCTCTTCTGCTTCTTTCACAAGAACATTCTTAGGAAAAGAAGAGGGAATGAGAACTGATAGCAATTTATGGAGTGTATTCTATTTTCTTTTACTGTTGCAGCTATGTGTGCATTTGATGAGATCTATATAGTATATATTTTCTCCTTTTGACTTTGGTTGATGCTCGGGAATGATATGCCTGAACTTGCATATTGCATGCAATTGCTTGAASTGTGTAAAGAACCAGTATCATATTGGTGACTATATTCACTCAGTAGCAGAAGAATGGAAAATATCAGTAAAATATTCCCCTACTATAACTTATTAATTAATAAATTCTACCATGTTTTTTAAAAAGTTCTCTCTTTTCTGCTGATAATTTGTGCTCAAAGTTTTCTCATTTAATCTTGTTACTCCTTAATGCTTAGAAAGTTATGTCAAYGGTGTTGGAACTTTTTAGCACACTCGACATGCACAGACTTGCACTGATACCTGATTTGGTTAAATGGACCTTTTAATGAGCTCCCTGGTGCTGGCAGAACACGTGTGTCATTCAGAGTGTATCATTTAGAGGTTTAAAAGTAAAATGTAAATAATGTTTTGCTATTGCCAGAAAGGATTTGATGTGTTCAATGCACTAGACTTGATGGAAAATAAAACATTCCTGGAAAAACTCAAGTTTGGGATTGGAGATGGCAATTTGCAGTATTATTTGTACAACTGGAGATGTCCTGGCATGGAATCTGAAAAGGTAAGAGAAAAAGAGCTTTAGAACTCCATTAGATATAATAAGACACTCTTCTACCATAGTCAAAAGGGACAGAAGTTTTAACGTGTATGTAAATAATGTTCTGCTGCTGTAATGTATTGCTAATATTTTGTTCTATATATATATATGGGGGGGGGTTAATTGAATACTTTTAAGATCCATAATTCACTAATTAAAATTCTGTTGCCATAATTAAAACTAAAATATTGTGTGTTTGTTCTCTTCTAGGTTGGTCTTGTATTACAATGAGGACATTGGTGTTCCTAGAACTCTGAAGTCATCGTTTGAGTTATTTTGGTCTCCATAGCATCTCTTGGAACGGCGTTGTTCAAGAGGAGTAAAAGCACAAACGTCAGTCAGAGATACTGAGATAGTCCATTAAAACCCGAACAATGAGGGAAATCCATACGCGACCAAATTTGTGCATTTTCAGATAGATCAGAAGGTCCATGAAACTCTTTTATTGTCCATGAAAAGAATAAAAGCACATTCATTTAAGTCTCAAAGCTTAGCTTGCACCTTGATGAGAAGAAGGTATTTTTTTTCCACTCTGTAGAAAAGACTGTTTTGTACAAACTGAACTTCAGTGGTGGATTAGGGTACAAAAAATATTTGCTATTATGTGGATGAACTGCTGCATTTCTATTTATTAAGTGGTGGTRTATGTTCGTCAGTGTAACAGAATGAAGGATACAAACTCGAGTATCTTTGCTTATTTACTTCACGTGGATATCATCATTTTGGGGAAAATCATGAAGTATGATACGTTTGTAGCTCTATGAAAGTCCTGGATGTTTTTGTAACCGGAGCAGTATGACGATGTACTGGTTTAACTAGTGCATTTATTTCTCCATAAGCAATGCTGCCAAATCAATAAAAATACAGATTTGTACTTTGATCTTCAATAGATCAGTGGATTGATTTAACAGTATCGCACTGTTCAGTGCAGGTGTTACCTATGTTGCCGGAATGATTATACATTACTGTACTTAATTTACAGTTGTGGCACAAAACTTAGTTTTTCCTCAGTAGATTAACATCAGCCTGTGTGTAAAACTAAGAGTTTTAGTAGTGCTATCAGGATATTTATAGTTTGAATGTTTTCAATGCTTCTGCAAAATTGCACATATTCCTTTGTCTACTTTGATTTCTTATGAAGTCTGTAATTCTAATGAAAAGTATCTTGTGTAAATAAGTATTCATAACTTGTTCCTGGTAGTGTTTTTATCCTGACTTTGGAGCAAGGAGTTGGCTGTACACGTGGCTGGCAAGCAGTCCTCGGTCCCTGGAGGCCTGTGTTCTGCTCTTCCTGAAATGCAAGCGGGCTCATGTTCTGGTGTGGAGGGAGAGCTGTTTTAATTCCCTCGTGAATGCTCAGCAACCAGAGTGGCTTCTGGAGCCACGTTCCAGCACGGTGTCACAGTTAGACACGGTAGCAGTTCTTTGGATTTTACGTATGCTGCAGTAATACAAGCACCGAGAGGAGCTGCGGTGAGAAACTTGGAGCTGAAAGTGCCAAAGTGTGGTGGTGAAGCCTCTGTGCTGTGAGCATATTTTGAATGTGACTTGACTATCTCATGAAATGCAAATGTCTAAACTTTCCTTTTAAACATGCCTGTAATTTTGACAGCAAGTTTTGCTGCAAGTCGAATTCTGGAACTTAAAGCATCAATTTAGATGAAGATAAAGTTGTCTGTTCTTCCTAACTGCTGGCCCTATCCCACCTCCTTATAGCTTTTTATTATTGTTGTTTCATTTTGTTTCTCCTCCATTTTGAATGTGTGGATAATTTGGAGTTTGGTTTCTCTCTTTTTTTGCTCCTTTCTTTCTGTGGTTAAACTGTGAGAGGATCTTTGCTCTCGAGATACGGTCACCTCGCTGACTGCAGGGAGAACTTTTGCTGTCTGAACAGGAGGGGCTTAATCCCAGCTCCGTCAAAGACTTGAACTCTTAGCTCTCAAAAGGCAAGAAGTTGCTTTCCCTGCTAGGAGTTTGCGTCGAGGTGTGCTGGGTTAAGGAGAGGATTTTTTTGTGGCACTTCAGTGCGTTTTGTCTGGCTTTGACAACAGTGCATGGCCCTGGCCTGGTGCCCAACATATTTCTGTGCTAAGAAATGATCTGAACCTGCGTGTCCCTGATCTGGGTGGTGGTCTTGAATGCCAGGCAAAGGAGGAACATGTTTCCTCTGCCTTCACTCTCCCTAACCCCAAAAGAGAGAAAAAGAGAGGTGGAAGGAAAAAAAAAACAATTTATTTCCTCCTGTTCTCTGAAATCCAAAGGGAAATCTCCTTTTCTCTTGTTTGGAAAGGCTCCTAAGCCACAAGAGGGTCACGGAGAAGGTAGGATGGACTGTGGCTGCTGTGGAGGTGACTGCGTGTGAGGGAAGGACTTAGCCACCCTCTTGTGCTGTCTTCTGGGGAGAGAGCATCGTTTTCTTCTGCRTCCAAGGGGTGCAAGTTTGTCTCATTTTCCAGCGTGTGAAGTTTTGTATTGAGGGAGGGGCACTTTTCCAGGGACGTTCCTGGAAGATCCTGCTCCTAAACTGCTATTCCGTAGCTGCTTAATCCAAGAGAATCTGTTCTGCCCCTACTGAGTGCTCAGACCTTGGCTAGCCAAATGTTTTACCTCAAGGAATTCAYTGCAGCACCACAGGCTTCCAGAGGACGTGGATCTTGGGCCTGCCCCACCAGGAGAGGGTCTTTGGGAAGCGGGAAGCGCAGGAGCTTCCCAAGTAGGGGCTGAGCTGCAGGGTGTTCCCAGCGGGGGTGCTCCAAGGGACGACACTCCGAGGTGTCGGAAGCAGAACCCGTCAGTGCTCCAGACTGGCCCCCAGCACAGCAGCCAGGAACAGACGGGTTCCTGAAAACAGCAGGCTTTAGGAGGCTGCACAGCTCCCTCCTGCCCCTCTGCTGCAATCTCCTGTAATTCCTTCCCTACAGTAACTTTCCAAACACCTGGAGAGAACTACAGTGCTGAGCGGGCAGCAAGGTGGTTAGAAGATAACTGCTGCAACACGAATGTGCTTCACCAGCTGTCACGCTTCCCGACTCAGTTTTAAATGTGCTGTTAGCATGAGCTAGCATGGGAAATAAAAGCACCAGTTCTAGCATGCCCTTATGGTTTTATTMATCTAAAAAGCTAAAGCCAAAGCAACTCTTCCCTGCCAGCTCCTGCAAGGCAGGGCCAAAAAAATCCCTTAAACATCTCTATTTTGTTTTATCTTCAGGAAGCCTCATGATTTTTGCTACTGCCTCCCTTTACGGTTTGACAACATGAACTGAAGTCATCTCWAAATAAACCCAAAATACAGGCTAGCTCCCTGAGGCACTGAAAGGGTAAAAGCTCTGAAAAGGCCGTCCTAAAGAAACACCAAAGTAAACTCCCTAAGAATATTTCTTTTTGTTTTTAATTCTAGAAGATTCCCCAAGAATCTTTCTGCTGTTGCAGCACAGTAGTGACTTCCTGAAGTGCTGAGCTGCATCCGAATTCCCACGGTGTTGTCTTCGATGGCATCTGGGTTGCACCACCGTTACCCTTCCTTCCTATAGAACTACTCTYTTCCTAGGGAATGGATCATAGTCCTCACTAATATTAAAGGAAACTCTAAAGTTGATGACTGTAAAACCGCTACAAGCCACCRAAATATACCCAATATTTGCTACAGAACCTACACCAGTACGTATTTTATATGGACTTACTGGGAAATAACTTTAGGCTCCACTGAGAAATCAAATTGAGTCTAGAATAGTCTGATCCTGTGGGGGGGAAAATAATAATTTGCAGAGATTTGCAGAGATGCAGCAACGTAGTAATTTGGTCTTCTTGCGGATATGGAAAGCAAAACGTTTTTCTTTAGCATATCAGACACAAAAGATGGTTGGACTCCAAGTCTGCACGTGTCCCTGACCAAAACAAGCTCAGTGTCCAGCACAGCAAAGTATGAAAGTCCAAAAGAGAAGTTTGCCTGTACTATCAGTTACAGCTGTTTACATGAAACAAGCATTGGAACAGTTTTTAAAAGGTTTGCCAGCATGAACCTTGTTTAAATAAACGAACAATGTTGGTATCTGCTTGTTTGAATAATTACACTTAAATTACAGTGGTTCCCGTTCAAAGTGTGTTCACCTACATAAAAATACAAAATACAAATACAAAATGCTTTCCATCARTTTCATGGATGTATCTGATATGACCTCGTGATGTTTATGCAGTGATTTCTGTTCCATGATCTCAAAATGCAAGTGTTTAGCCCTACATACAGACACATAGACATCAGCCATATTCTTTAATAGAAAAGCATAAAGCATAAAATGGAAAAGCAGCAGAGCTGACTTCAAGTTACACTGAGCAGTGCTTCACACAGGGAAGTTTTACAGCATCGTTCAGTGTTTGATACTGAATGAAAAATAAAATCAACAGGAAGAGCTGGACTAAAATCAATTACAACGACAGAGCTTTTCTCTTTTTGCGGGGTGGTTTCCTKATCTTATTGGGATTTGGAAGAAGCTTCTTGATTTTCAAAGGCTGCAGAACTACATGTGCAGAGCCAAACTGGTTGCTCTTTGCACGCTTCCGCTTCTGGCTCGCGAGCTCTGCTTCTGCAAGCTGCTCAGGATCCTGAATTCCTGACGAATCCGAGGGTGCATCTGCCACAGACTGTTCAGCCCCGTCCTGAATAATCCACGGCACTTCCAGGGCAGGTATCTTTGGAATTATTGCTTCCACCACCTCCGTGAATTGGACAGACTGCCTTTTAAAGCCTAACGCTAGAACAGAGCTTAGGCCAAGAAGCGGCGCGACGGTCTCGCTGAGACGGGGCACCTGGCCCGCTGGCGTCGCCCGACTTGCGCTCAGGGGAATAAGATGGGATGTGATCATGTCGGGCTTTGCAGACTTACACACCAACAGCAGAATAAGCTCATTTTTTTCCAAAGCTTTTGTCGCTTCATTAATTCCAATGGTGAGCTGCCTTCTGATACTTAAATCAGTCCATCCTGGTTCTGGTCGACTGCCTTCTGTCTCCTTCTCCTTAGGGAGCTCACTGCTGGCCACATCACCCTTCCTTTCCACTTGCTTTTTTGGAGTGGAACGTCTTTTCTTTCTTGGAGCCTCAACCTTTTTAAGCCCAACATGTTTAATCCTCTCCTCTAAAGCCTGCAGTATAAAATGCATATCATCTCCGTCTATGGTCTTCCACTGAATAACATAGGGGTCATCCAGACACACTTTCACGTTGACTTTCTTGGCCTTGCGGAGCGATGCAGTCCCACGCTGGATTACAGGCATCCCGTGTCCTTCCCTTTGTCACCTGGGCTGTGCAGGGAAGAAGGAGGCGAGCTGCAGCTCAGACACCCTAACGTTTGCCGGGGACATCACCATCCAAACTCTGTCCTCCCAGGGGGGAAAACCCCAGATCTCACAGGGATTCTGGCAATTACCGTTAGCCCCCGGGCCGCCCCGCGCAGACCCGCCGCCCGCGGGCCGCCCCGCGCAGACCCGCCGCCCGCGGGCC